AACCCTCGATTTAACGAACAAATTTGGCCGGTCCCCAGCGACTTCGTTAAATCGAGGTTCCACTGTAATTACTTTGTAAACCTGAACAAATTGATTACAGATTATCTTGAAGTCGTAAAACACAATCAGTACAAACTGGACATTTTTGCCAACTTCTCGACAAATTCCTACAATCCAGCTTTTCTTCGTACATTTGTCGACTGGAAAGCGATGGAAGGCAATTCCTAACTGACCTTTTGATCTGTTGTTTGAGCATAAGGGCACTCGACAAGGATCTTTGTTTGAGTAACTGCAAACTCACAGATTAACACGTATCGCCTCGATTTCATGCCTAAAGTACATACGTCATATTCAGTATGGCCGGCCCGTGACAAGGGTGAATATTACGATGTTCATGAAGAGCTAGCACACGATAAAGCAAGTTGTCACATTCTCATCTCCAGTTTCCCCGGTCTACACTAGGAACGCCTGCGGCCATAACCCCGCTTTTGGCGACCAAATACGGCTTCCATTTTATGACTAGGGTTTTTCTTATGGAAGCCTGAGCAATAAACTATATTTTCTTTTGTTTCTCTTTTATTTGGTTTAGGAACTGCTGGAAATTCGCTGGATCATCATATCGGTTCTCCATTTTCAACAAGAGACCAAGACAACGACAATTATAGTGGTAACTGCGCTGTGTCTTATAAAGGAGCCTGGTGGTACAACAATTGTCAACACAGCAACCTGAATGGTATCTATCATCACGGACATTACGTGGGTTATGATGGTCTTAGGTGGTATTATTGGAGAAAAGATAATCTTTCAGCCAAAAGAACTGAAATGAAGATCCGACCGGTGAATCATTAGCCATCTACATGTACCCTTTTTTACCATTGATATGGTAAAATAACAGTAATGCAGGAGAGAACTTACGAACAACGGATATCGTGGTTATATATTAATTATGCTTTACTTTGAATACCTAAACAGTTTACTGTATCGAGTGATTTATAACTGATTGTCGAAAGTAATTGCTTGGCTTTCGTAGTTCTACAAATACATGTAACGGAAAGTAAACGTGATGTAGCCAATAAGAGTAAAGATGCTTTTAAGAACAAGCAGGCTTGGCTTACTTGGGTTTCCCCGGTCTTAATACAATTGATTACGTACATGTTTATCTCGACCTCTGATTGATTAATGTTGCCATTTATTATTGCTGTAATTCTTCTCTTGCCTAGAGGGGTTCGCATTCATCGAGAGTAACAAAATGGCCTTGATACTAAGCGCGCTCGGCGTGATATCGAGAGTCGTTGGAGGCAGCCTGGCCGAGTAGCCAGCGCGTCGGACTCGTAATCCAGCGGTCCCGGGTTCGAGTTCAGCATTGACCACTAACTGGACTTGTTTCACGTCAGCCCCGAGTTCAAATCCTCCGCCACGTTACTGAACAGCCAACTGGTTTTCCTCCCGCCAGTTGGGATTCGTAACAATGTTATGTTCAATTTGAATTATTTTCTTCGGTTGTTTGCTCGGCCCCACGAGCCTTTGTGCTATAAACACTGCCCAGGGTAAATTAAGGCTATTTATTATTATTATTATTATTATTATTGTAGTTGTTGTTGTTGTTTTTTTTTTTTAATTTTTTAATTTTTTTAATAATAACAATGTTTATTAGTGGCTTATAAAAAATTACAACTGTAAAAATTCTTAGGACAATATCTATGTC